GTTAATGTAAAGTAGATTATAGATGATCATGTTTTTAGCATAGGTTCAGTTATGCTGCATTCTTAGATTATTGCAACACTTTTAGATTCCCTTGAGCTGTGACTGTTCTCGAGCTCACACATGACTTATGGTTGGACCGCCGGGGATTTCACAAAGTCACATGACAAGCAGAGAGTTACCTTTATCTAAAGGGATTTTGCTGAAAATGCAAACACAGCCATGTTGTGTAACACATAGAGTGCTCAGAGTTTAAAACAAAAGTTTTCTGTGTGGACCCCCTCTTCATCTCTATCATTTTTGTTTTTAATTTAGTATAATTATTGTCATGTATTTTTGTTAATGCACCTTGTTTGACTCCAGGAAGAATAGCTGTGTTGAACAGCTAATGGAGATCAAATTAAATACAAACACAAATACAAATAATTTGTACAATTACACAAAGCCATGTTTAAAATGCCATGCCAAAATGTTTAAAGATTCTCCTGCTGCTTTGTTTAAGTCTTCTTCAGTGGATGACTCTCACACGGGTTTTTCTGTGAAGCATTTGAGAGTTTGAAATTTATTGTTTTCTCATTCTCATTCTCAATCATTCTAATGGCCTGACCCTTCACCACTGTAAACGACACCTGACAGGGAGACCCACTGAAGACCAAATCAAAGGACAGATGTGAACGTCTGGGTGATGTTGGTCTTACTCTTTTGAGAATGAGGCCACAAGAAAGACATGTCCGTGTATTTTTTAGACTGCTGTGACTTGGTTGACACTCAGCAGTGACAAAAATCTCAGTCTGTTTGAAATGCACATGTTTCTGTCGTGTCCAGCGTACTTTCTGTGGAGCTTTTACATGAACTCCTCTCGTAAACTGCCACTGAAGCACCTTTTGTGACTTGTGTGGCTTACGCTCCGTACATAACATTGTTTCTCTCTGAATAAATAATTGATCTGTTCACATACATTTCTTTATGTTTTGGCATCAGTAGAAAACACACACACACGCACGTCACTGTTATTCTCTCTCACACACACCGAGTCAGCTCCTTTTGTTCTGTAAAGCACTTTTCATCGGCTATTTGTTTTTGTTGGCTTTGAAAAGTTTGCTTCCGTGCAGTAGATGAAGGAGGGGCGAGCGAGGCGAGTGTGTGTGTTCGCTCATGGGACAGAGGACTGGCCTGGGCTGTGCTCGCTTGAAGCCTACCTGTGCACATTTTCCCCCTGCGCAGTCGCTATTTAAAGTCAAGGGAAACGCTATTAATATCTTTCACTGTTACCACCTATTTCTCCTCTGTGCTGACGACAATTCACTTCTGCTACATCATCTCCAGTCTTCTCCCTTATGTCTCTTCACGGGCCACACAATCAAGGTGAACCTGACGTAAGTTCAAGGCAGATGTGTCCGTCAGTGCAATAAATACACACACATGCCATGGGCTGATTGGAAGTTGTTTGTTTTAGTGGACAGTTATGTTTACCTGTCCTTGTGGGTGGCGACTGGGTGGTTGTCAATAATCTTTTTGTTTGTATGTGTACCTAGTCGATTTCTGAAAGCTAGTGTCAGAAAACTATTGATCAATCTCACTGATGTAAAGGTGCATCCAGCCGCTTGTAACCATGACCTCTTTCACCTCATGTTCTTGGTCACCCTGACTTTTCTGATTTGCACTCTGGTTGATAAAAATAAATCATTTTTCCGCACATCAGTCACTTTGAAAAGGGATTTCTATTCTGTAGCTGATATTTTAGATAATTTGACCCGAACAAAGTGACAACTTGAAGTAGAAGTGCTTCTAAGTAGAAGACATAGAAGTGCATGTACCAAGAAAGCATTATGTTCATGAAATAATGCTTTGATATAAATGTAACATGTAGGAAAGCAAAAAAAGCTAATTCTACAACTATTTACTTTATCTTGATTGACATATATCTTGGTGAACCTCCTTTTTATCTTTTATATTTTCTCATCTATTTCAGAGTAATGTGAGAGTTTTTTTTGCACCTTATCCGCTTACAGGAACAGCCATAAAAGCAGCATCCATTAAAAGCTCTCTGGTTCCCTGTATCCTGCTGTACATGACTCTGTCTGCCCCTGGAGCTCCCCCAATGGGCCTCAGGAGTTTTAGCGGCCCGCAGCCAAATGTGTGCACTTTCTGGGTCCTGTACCTCTGATCGGTTACCGTTTTTATGGGAAATAACCCACATAAAACAAAGGACATAAAATAATGAGGATAGTTTAGAGGAACACACAATGAGATCTCTCCTCCGCTCCATTCTTTCTTTTCTTCCATTCTTCCTTGTACTGTGCTTGCATTTTTCTCGATTCTCCACAGTGTCCACGAGACAAATTGCACTCAGTTTGCTTTGTGAAAAAGTCAGATATTCTGTGTATACAGCAGAGCATGCACTTCTCTTCCAGAAAGTTCTGGAGCAATTAGTGAGAGCAGCTGTAGCTCAGTTACCTGAGAGCTTTAGCTCGGATCCTAAAGTTGGTGGTTTGAAGCTGCTGTCCAGTCCCCACATGAAAGTATGGTAATGTGGTCAGATCCATGTTGACACTGTGATATTAGCACTGACAGAGGATTACTGCATGTTTCATTGTTTTTGTCCGTTACACGGTATTCTTCCTCAAGTGGAGGAGTTCTAGTAACTCAGGGTCTGAGTGAGAGAAGGATGGAGGTGAGACTGACGGACGGATCCGTGCAGCGTCTGCAGTGATGTGGTCGTTGTAGGTAATTTGTGCTTTCCATAAAGTTTTACATGAAACTTTTACATTTGAAAGGTTTTACTCACACAATTGTACTTGGATTAATTAATATTTTGATGGACAATGCAAAACACAAATATTCGTACATATACAGTACATTGTGTGTGTAAATTAATAAGAAGATGCAGCATCCACAAAATAAGTCATGTCTGAAAGGAGCTGGAGGAAGTAAATGTATTTAACCCCACACCCTCTTACACCTTTCAATTTAATAAACTAATATAGCCTTCATGTTTCCTGATAAACCCTTTCATCATTCTTTGTTGAATTTCCATGCATCCATTTTCTACCCTTTAATCTATTTCTGGGTCAGGGGGGTGGCCAGAGATGCGACCCAGTACACATAGCACCAGCCCCTCACTGCCCCTGCAGGTGGTGAGTCCACAGGAGGACGGCTGCTCTATGGCATAGCCTTGATCTTTCAGCGGGGGCTTCAGGCAAAGTGGGGTTAGATGTCTTGCCCAAGGACACAATGACAACAGTCATCAGAGGGAGTCGGTGGAGAAGGTCTCATGGTGGGCTCGAACCCACAACCTTCAGGCTCAAAGGCCAATGCTCTTCCAACTGAGCTACTGTCACTTTGAATTCTTTGTTGAATTGGTTTACATATATTTTCATATTTGTATTTATATTATTTAACATTGAATGATTGAACATTTCCTAGTGACCTTTCCAAAAAGCACTTTGAAATGACAAATGTTTTCTGTTTTATCCACACAAGTCCCACTGATTTCTTCATAATAGTCCAAATAATATTTTGTTGAGGCAGGACATTACGTGAAGCACTCAGAGCAGTTTTCTGCTTGCCCCATGAGAGTGGCTCTGCTGATTTGGTGGATTTGGACTGATGCTTTGCTCTTAATTGACATTTCCCTGTGAAGGAGGAGAGCTGGAGGATAGTGGTACTCCACTAAAGTGTGCCCTCAGCAGAAATGTGACTCCTTCAGTGTACATCCATGGCCTGAACGTCTCCTCCCTTTTATTGTATTTACCTATTGATGATAATGTTAATATGTTTAACACTGTTTACTTGGAGCTCTTGTTTTGTCTTTTGAAGGGTCCATTCTGGTCCATTCTGGTCCATTCTGTGTTGAACAACCAGACCGTTAAGAATCCTATTCTGTAGAATTATGTTTTGGATCAAATGAAGCCGTCTGAGAATAGCTGATCGCATTACTAATAGCGGTGAAAGGCCACCATTGTGTGCGTCCATGAGAATTGGTTTAGTGTCAACAAGTGTTCTCTGACTTTGGTGTGTGGCATGTGGAGCAGCTGGATCAGCAGCTGCCTCTTGTATAATCTGCTCCAGCTTCACTCTTCACATGGCACCGCTGACCAGAGGATTCTCTGCACGTTGATACAGTCAGATTTGCACTCAAGTGTATAAATATACAATGAGGGACTAATAGCCACCAGGGCGAGTCATTTTATATACATGCGTTTTCAAACTCTAATCTCTCATTACTCATTAGTCACTGTCCCAGTATGTATTAGTGCAGTTACAATACTAATATTTGAATCTCAACTTCCATATAGATAGAACAAAAGAACAGTATTATTGGTAATAATACTGTGTACATAAAAATGAACCAGTCTAATGGTCACGACACTACAACATTTTAGCTTATAAAGAAACCCTTCCATTTACTGTATTTTATTTTATTTTATCAACATTTTATTCATTCAACTGCCGTGACAGCACATGCTGTTGTAGTCCGCAGTCCACGGTGTGCAGTGTGAGCCAGGCGAGAAGAGACGGTGCCTGTTTCCACGTGGGCCTCTGCTCTGTGTTGTCTCAGTCCATAACCCATAGTTAGACTTTAAGTACCACCATCCTTCTTTCCACACAGGAGGATGAAGGACACAACAGAAACACTTATTGGGCACCACTCTTGGAACAGTAACAGCACAAAAATGACATATGATAATGATATTGATAATGGGTAACATCATCGTAATATTCATCCTATCAGCACTTGTTATTCTATATGCATTATAGTTCTAATTCACAAACTGTATTTTTGTTTTTTTCTCAAGCAATACATTTACTTGAGATTAGATTTACCTGAACGCATCGAGGTGTTCATTGTGTAACGTTATGGATCAACAATTTCCTCTGTTTGTGTGCGTCTGTAGCTAAACATTCACAGCATATTCACATGTCTAAGTCCGTTGCTTTGTGCTGAATTACATTACGTCCTTCCTCATGTGTCTATTGACCTGTGTTGTTTTTCTTCACAGTTTCTTGCTGGTGTTCAGCTGCCTGGTGCTGTCTGTCTTTTCCACCATCCCCGACCATCAGAAAATAGCCAACCAGGGTCTCTTCATCCTCGTAAGACCTCTTCCTCATCCATTTACTGTACTCCTCCTGGACAAGGCCTTTTAGACACACTTAATGATGTATGTGGGCTGTTTTGTTGGAGGTGCGTGACAGCAATGTACTGTAAGCAGGCTAAAAAATTCTGGTGTTGTTGACGATGCAAAAAATCACAAACTGGATCCGTTAATTCTAAAAGCCGGTTTTAGGGAATGGAAATGGACTCTGGACGCTCCGTTTCAACCTGACCTTCTTATTCATCAAAAAATAACTCTCACTTTTCACTTTATCAATCATTCGCCAGCCATAGTGACTCACTTGTCCAAACCACTTCCAGATCAACTGTAAGAGGGGGTAATGATTCTAATACGATATGTTCATATTTTGCATGTCTTGCATCTTTGCACGACAACTTTTTCTGACGTTTTGCCATCATTGCACTTTGCTGTATTTCGTTGAAGCCCGTCACTCACTCAGAGCCACAAAAGGCCAACGAGGAGAAGAAATTTCTGATTAAAAGTGTTTATGAGCAAATTAGTGGAGTGGCTTCACATCACAATTCAGAAAATCCATATCTTCCAGTGCTTACTGAAAGTAGCTGATCTAACAAACACACATGCATAAGAACAAGAACTTGGACTTTACAAGACCGGACCAAACCACTTTTCTCTCAAATGGCTTTAACATTATGACATATAGAGGCCTTAAGAGATCAATCTATGAACAAAAGGCTACTAGTAAATATCGGACTTGAAGCTGACAAGATTCAATGTAATGTATCCTCAGATAATAGGTTAACTTTTGCTAAACATATTTGGCCTTTTTCTGGAAAAAAAAACACAAAACAAAACTGGATTTATGCTTCATTAATGATGATGAGAATGTCCACAATATTAACGTTTTAGAGAGAGCAGAATGTGTCTCTCCTTTGGTTTGACAGTTCCTTATATGAAATGTAGCTGGTTTTGGCTGTAGTTCACAAACAAATAATAGCTCCACACATTTGTCTAAATAAAAGCAGATGATAAAAATAAGTAGTCATGAGTTATATACACTGTGTTCTGTCTCGAGCTGAACCCCAGCAGGTGGATTGCATCTGCTATCATTAGTTAAAAGTGATAAGAACGTAATTGTAATAACTTTATCAGACCATTGTATGTGCATCATACATGAATCAATAATTAATAATTAATAATTAATCAAAGCTAATCACAGTGAGATCATCTAAATGTACGCTTTTACATCCTTTCAGAACGTCCACTCAATCCCACTTTATCTACTTACTATCCTGCTCTATATGTATATAACTTAGCGCTATATATAGATTTATTGATTTTACAGCTAGCTAAGAAACATAGCAGCTGCTCCCTGTGTGCTCTACTAGTACTGTCCTGTATGTGCGCTGCAACATTGAAATTTCCCCACTGCGGGACGAATAAAGGCTCTCTTATCTTATCTTATCTTGTGTTGCAGGAGTTTGTTATGATTGTAGTGTTCGGCCTGGAATACTTCATCAGGATCTGGGCGGCCGGATGCTGCTGCAGATACAGAGGATGGCAGGGTCGTCTCAGATTTGCCCGGAAGCCCTTCTGTGTCATAGGTCTGTTCACTCAGGGATGCACTTCTTATCACGTCACGCTTACAATTCTGCTTGTTTTTCTTTTTCTAGATTTCATTGTATTTGTGGCTTCTTTGGCGGTGATTGCGGCTGGGACACAGGGTAACATATTTGCCACCTCAGCACTGCGGAGTATGCGTTTCCTGCAGATCTTGCGTATGGTTCGTATGGACAGGCGAGGAGGCACCTGGAAACTACTGGGCTCAGTGGTCTATGCTCACAGCAAGGTGGGAACAAACCGTGCCACACCCCAACTATCAAATGCCTCAGTTTCATCTTAAATGCCCCTTTTCTCTACACATGGATCTATAGTTACGCTGTGTTGTAATTGGCCTGCCTTCTGTGCCTAAATGTGCTGATGACTTTGCCGCCGGTAATTGATATGATTTGCAGCTCATAGCTTCATTAGTTTTCCTGATTTGCTGACCTCAACAGCTGACATTCGTCGCTTTGAGAACATATTTGGACAGAGGCAATGATGATGAATTGTGGCCTGTCCAAGTCTGTAGTCAAGATAAAGTGCAAGTTAAAAGTGATGATAAGGAGACTTCAGTCAGTAATGATTCCACTAAAGCAGGGATTATGATGGCAAAGATGCTGCCGCTGTTGACACCTGTGATTGATGGCCTCTTGTATTGTGTTTCCCTCCTCTCAGGAGTTAATAACGGCCTGGTACATAGGATTCCTGGTCCTGATCTTTGCCTCGTTCCTGGTCTACTTGGCAGAGAAAGACAATAACTCAGACTTCAACACCTATGCAGACTCCCTCTGGTGGGGGACTGTGAGTACTGTAGTTTTCACATGGCAGGCTCAGTGTTACTATACATAACCCTTGAACATATTAGATCAAAAACATCTTGTTTGTGAACAGTAGAAAACTGCACAGTAATTCCCACGCACTGAATGCATGTTTGTAGATTACACTGACCACTATTGGCTACGGTGACAAGACCCCTCGGACGTGGCAGGGACGCCTCCTGGCAGCAGGCTTTGCTCTTCTCGGGGTCTCCTTCTTCGCCCTGCCTGCTGTAATACTCTCTTCATCCCAAAGATATTTAAGAATAAATCGTTTTTGATCAGTTTTAAACTTGTGACTTTTGGCCTCCAGGGGATTCTAGGGTCAGGTTTTGCTCTGAAAGTCCAAGAGCAGCATCGTCAGAAGCACTTTGAGAAGCGGAGGATGCCCGCTGCAAACCTTATACAGGTATCTATCCAGAAGAGCAGCAGACTCGAGGATGATTATGACTTAACCACATCCTTTCACGTTCTGCTGTAGGCTGCGTGGCGACTCTACTCCACAGATGCTAAGCATTCATATCTAACAGCTACGTGGTACTTCTATGACAGCATGTTACCATCGTTCAGGTAGGTATAATAATAAATCTCACAGTCTTTGGTGGCTGTATTCAAGCTTCCAGAAAGATGTGACAGTTGATTAAGAAACACTCAGTGAGCGCTTGCTTTCAGAAGTTTGGTGTTTTCATTGTGGGAGCAGAGTAGAAGCTTCTGCCTTCAAATTCATACACTTCACTTTTGTGTTTTTACTTTTTTAAAACATATATTGCAGACACGTGATCAATTACTCATTTTTTGTTATTTAAAGAAGAGAAACACAAGTGCCCAAACAGTAACCTGAGGTTAGGACACCTAATGGACACAAGTACCTTTAATTCCGGACTATAAGCCGCATTTTATTCCTGCATTTCAAAGGCTGCGGTTTATTGTAAGGTGCGGCTTAATTATTATTATTTTTTCCTGTGGCCAAGTAACAGTCGACCAACAGAATTGATGAGTAGTTCACAGACGCCCAACTAGATTGTAAGATTTGTCAATCAAGCTGCTTAAATAAAGTTAGTTAGTTAAATAAAGTCCTCACTTATAATATCTTTGTGTAAATATCTCATAATAAATAGTTGTTGGTTCTCTGCATAGACATGAAAGTGAAAAGAGACCAGTAGATGTTGCTCTTTACCTTTCTGCTTCACACTGAAGATTAACAGTGGCTCACTTCTAACTCTTTTTATTCACGATAAAAAGAGGACATGATGAATGTTTTTGAGCTACATTTTTAATGTTCAATATTACAATGTGGGACAGTTGTGGCTTATAATCCGGTACAGCTTGTACAAGAACAAAATTCAATTTATATCCAAAATTTAGAGCCTGCGGCTTATTGTCCGGAAAATATGGTAACCCATGAGCTCACTGAGACCAAACAGGAAAGTGCTCGTGGGCAAAATGTTTATTTGTCTTGTGTTTCTCTTCTTCTGAACTTAGACCATCTTTTATGTCTTTTTGATTTAAAATTTGATTTCTTTATGTTCATCTGTTTTCCTTTTTGTTGTGATGTATTTGTGCGTGTGGGTGTCAGAGAACTGACGCTCCTGTTCAGTCATCTTCAACGACAGCGTAACAACAAGAAGGTGCTTCACAACTCCTACCACACACTGCTATCTGGGCTGCGGCCCTACAGCTCCCCCTACATGTCGGGGGACAGGTATGAAAGCTGCTGTCTGCAATTCTAAAGTGATGCAGAGTTCGCCTGCTGCCGTCTGCGTGAATGTGTCTAACAGAACTTTCCCTGCTTCAGCCACTCACAATCCTGTCCTCTTCTGTCTTTTGCACTGTTGTCATTACTTCATGCCATCCATCCATCTCCCTCCATGTGTTCTCAGGAAGGCAGATGATTCAAGCAGGTTTGTGTTTCTGTCATAAGAAGTTGCTTGTTTTTCACTGTCGGGATTTTATTGTAAATTGTTGAAACGTTTTTTTTTTTTTTGCATGGAGAACCTTTGGAAGTTGCTTAGTTAAAACATCAGCTTTGAGACAGGCTGCTCTTGATGAATATACTCAGGTGGAGCGATCACCTCTGCATGACCAGTCCTCACTCCAAACTGTCTCCATAATCCAAAGCAGCAGCTTTCTGTTGTTTCTGTCTCGTACAAAGACCAGGGCTACTTGGACTATAGAGATGCACCTCCCTGTTCCTCAGTACTTTGTGCTCATCCTTTTGTATCTGGATCACCTCTCGTGCCCCAGGACTCATCCTCCTCTCCTCCCCATAGTTTCCCCCTCACCCTTTCTCCCTCTGCCTTATGTGTCTCTCCAGTCAACTTCTTTCTAAAAAGCGAGGTCTCTTCCGGATACACGCTGGCCGCAAGCAGAGGTATCCACGGCAACCAGCCTGTGCACGGGGCACGCTCGGACTGACGTCTTTCTAACTTGCATTTTCCTGACCCTGCCTGATTCAGACATTTTGTGGACCAGAGCAGCTCTACTTTTGGCCATATTTGTACTAATCATTCGTTTAATCTTTCACAAGAAGTTCTGTCTTGTGAAACACTGCAGTAGATGCTAAACTCTGGTCCAGTGTTGTTCATGTGACATGTTGCATCAGGCCCTGTTCTTCAGGGAGCTGGATTTCTAAATACTGAAACCTTTTTTGTGTATCTAAGTCAAATTTACCAGATTCTTAAAGAAAAAAAGCTCATATAAACCTGGTTTTTACTTTAATACTGTATTTTGATTTAGTCCTTTTTTTATATTATGGATGTTCTAAAGGGCTTTAAGGTGAGACACTTCAGTTGTTTCTTCATGTAATGTAATATTATTGATTAAACAAATCATTAAAATGGCTGCCACACATTGCACATAGTTAGGAAACTGAAAACTGAAAACTTGATAGATAGAGCCATGTTAGAACTAGTTTAAATGATGTGATTGGATGTGGTATTTAAGAAAACTATAGCTTAATGTTTTTATGTTTATTTACTGGTGTCCAGTTAAGTGTGTATCTTGTTGGAGCCACCAGAAGCTTGCCCTGTAGTGTCTCTCTTTAAGCGCATGATCCGTGTTGTGACCGTGCACCAACCTCCCGCATGCTCCTCTCATTCTGACTTCCTTTGTTTCTTACGCATTTCAGCTCGCCTTTGTGAAATGCACTTTTTTGCAATGCTTTGAACTATTTAAATATTAATTTAAATGGCTTGCTTCCACACGCACAACGAGTATATCATCGTAAACGTGGAGTGTACGGCCTGGGCCAGAATTGCTCTATGGTGCATGAAGTTTGCATTTCCTCTGGATCCGTGACAGTGTTACAGAGGGAGCGGTCTCAGGAGTGTTAAATACAGCTGGAAGGTCTGTTGGTTGTTGTGGATAATGTAAAAAAATATATATTCTCGCTAATTTGATTCCAAAACCACTGTGACTTTGCTTTTAACTATAAGATTTTACATGATTTGAATGATGTTTGATGGGACATATTTCCGCTATGCCAGCACTGCTGCTGCTCTTGAATCAGGTTTCACTTTGACTCTGCTGAATCAGTGACAGTGATATAGATACATTAGATTATTACTGTAGGGATGGGGCCCTGCGGTTAAGGTGCGACCCAAAACAGTTGTTAGTCTGTTGTTTTTGTCCCTGTACTGTTGTTGGTGAGTCCTTTACTTATACTTATACTAACAAATTATTCCTCAAGCTGCTAAGTCCTTTCATCTTCAGCTTTCCTTTTTCCAAAGGTTAACAAGACTTATTTCAATATGATCTTCGTGCCTGTGTCCATGTTAAACAGAGGATTTAAACATATACCTATTGTTTGACTGTTTTATTATTCCTATCAGTGGGAAAATGGGTTTCCGTGATCGTATCAGGATGAGCAATTCCCGATCATCTCAGGCTCTTCGCAATAAAGCATCTCCACTGCCACCCAGCTCTGGGGTGCGCCACTCACCCAGCCAAGAGAACGTCCCAGAGGCCACCAGTCCCGGGAAGGTCCAGAAAAGCTGGAGCTTCAATGATCGCACTCGATTTCGCACTTCACTTCGACTCAAGCCACGCCCTCCTGCAGATGGTACTGTCTCATATTTCCTAATGAGGTTGCTGTTTGTAGTATTTGCTAATAGTGTCTGCTTCGTGTGATAGTGGAGGGGGTCGGTGAGGACAATGTAGAAGACAAGTCATACTGTGACGTGGCCATGGAAGACGTCATCCCAGCAGTGAAGACTCTCATACGAGCGGTCAGGTGAGCTCCGCAGCCCGAACCACATGTTATAATGGCATTAGAACGACTGCTCGTATTCCATTGTGGATTTGTTCGTTTTCCAGATTTGTATCTCATCCTAGGTCATGTCACTATCATACCGTCCTGATTTTCTTCAGAAAGGTTTTAATGTAAAAGTCCCTCTGGTTTTAATGTAAAAGTCTACATTGTCCCAGCAGCAGCTTGTGTTTCTCCTCAGTACACCTGCGCCTCCTTTACACAAACAGATGTGAGCTCCAGCTGCTGCTTGTGATAGAATAGGGTCATGTTGGTCAGGTTTGCATGGAATTACCTGCCGTCTTCCTCCTGTTTTCACACAACCTGCAACTGTCAGTATCCGTAACTGAGCATCACCGTGGGCCTTGTAGGAGCCAGCACAGGTCATTCAAGCCCTCTGTGAATGGAATGTAGAACACAATTCAGTTGAATCAGAAGACTGCACCAGCGTCTGCTCTGTGAAGGCTTGCATAACTCTATTATGACCGTATGGAGCTGTTAGCACATATATAACTAGTCTTATACATGCTCAGGTCATTGTGATGAAATTTAGTTTTGTCTTCTTTAGAATCACATAGGACCACAAATCACAAAAACATGCAATAAAGTACACTGTAAACCCTAACTTCAATTGTACTTCAGATATCAAAGTTATTTTAAATAGATTTTTTCCCAGTAAGTGAATATTACTCCTTTATTGTTAGTTTATTTAAAGCTTGGCGATATCAATCAGGGTTTTCTTTGAATTGAACTCTCTCTGTTCAAGTAAGCCTCACTTTTGACATTTTGACGTGTAGAGTCTTAAATGAGACAGGTGTGAAATAGGGCAAGGCAGCATGGTGGCTGAGTGGGTAGTACCTTCACCTCTCAACTCCAAGATTGTGAGTTCAACTCCTGGTCGGAGCAAAATTTAAACTTTATTGCAATCGCTTGAGTTACTTGGTAATATCAAGTAAAGGATGTACTCGAGTAATTCAAGTGAAGTTAATATGCAATTTATTTCCAAGGTTTTTCTCAAGTAAACTTTACTTGTAAGGGTTTACAGTGTACAGTGGAGCTTAAACAGCTGAAGAGTGTTTCATCTATAGCAGTGGTGCCAAAAGTGGAGCCCAAGGGCGAAATCTGGCCATCCTGGGGATCTAATTTGCCCGCAGGGGTGTTCTGAGATTTGGAAAATGTTTCTGAGAAAAGTTCTCAGAACTGCACATTGGCTCATCGCAGATCGGCAGACTACATGCTCCTCGAGACAATAGGTGGGACCACGAGATCCTCATGCAGAGACTAGAGCACTGGGTGGGTGTCACTGGGACTGCCCTAAGTTGGTTTAGGTCTTACCTAGAAGACAGGAAATACTTGGTTCAGATAGGAAACTGTGTCTCAGATCATATGGCTCTGACCTGCGGAGTGCCACAGGGATCAATTCTGGGGCCTCTTCTGTTCAATATTTACACGCTGCCGTTAGGTCAGTTAATACGCTCCAACAATGTATCCTACCACAATTACGCTGATGACACTCAAATTTATGTCTCACTTACTGCAGGAGAACATGGACCAGTGGAATCACTCCTTCACTGTACTCAACAGATTAGTGATTGGATGCAAAATAACTTCCTTCAGCTAAACGCAGACAAAACAGAATTGATTGTCTTTGGTCCTCAGAAACAAAGAGAGAGCGTTATTCGTCACCTCCAGTCTCTCTCCCTGGAACCTGTAGGCAAGGTCAGAAACCTAGGAGTTATAATGGACTCAGACTTAAATTTTAACAGTCATATCAAATCAGTAACATCAGCAGCATTTTACCATCTGAAAAACATTTCCAAAATTAGAAACATAGTGTCTAAATCAGATCTGGAGATTCTCATCCATGCATTTGTCTCCAGTAGGTTAGACTACTGCAATGGCCTGCTCACAGGTCTCTCCAAACAGGCTGTAAAACAACTGCAGTATGTCCAAAATGCTGCAGCTCGAGTCCTGACCAGGACCAGGAAATATGACCACATTAGTCCAGTTCTCAGGTCTCTGCACTGGCTTCCTGTGGCTCAGAGAATAGACTTCAAAGCAGCACTGTTTGTGTACAAGTCTCTCCATGGCCTCGCACCAGGGTACTTAAGCGACTTGTTAGTCCCATATGAACCGGCCCGGACTCTGAGGAGCACAGGAGGTAGCCTCTTACTGGTTCCAAGAGTCAGAACTAAACATGGGGAGGCAGCGTTTGAGATTTATGGAGCTAAAATCTGGAACAATCTTCCTGAAGATGTGAGGCTAGCATCTACTCTGGCAATTTTTAAATCAGTGCTAAAAACTGTTCTTTTTAGCTGTGCATACGGCTGAAGGATTTTATTGATACATACTCTTTTTTTTTTAATGCATTGTGGTTATTTATTATTTTAATCCCGTGTGTGCTTTTAATATTTTAAGTTTTTTTTTTTTTTTTTTTTGCATTACTTGTGATTTTATTCTGTTTTTAATGTATTTATTGATGTCTCTGATTTGTGTGATATTATGTGGGTTGTGAGGCGCTTTGAGTGGCCTTGTGTTGGAAAGGCGCCATACAAATAAAGTTGATTGATTGATTGAATGCAATTTGTATGAAACAAGAAAACGTTGCTGACAAATCAGTATTTATGGAGGACCTCACGCTTACTCTTTATTACTTACCATTAATCATAATTACTTTATCAGTAATTTTCTCATAAAACTGTGACTTTTTTGACTGGATTTTGTTCCACTTCAAACACACAATAATTACTATAATTATAATTTCATGTTATTAATCATCATGTCATGTATGATTTTACTGTTAAATGTTTCTTTGCTTCAAACATATGGTATTGGGGCTGCGCTGGTCTCCAGAGCCCAACATTTGGCTGAGCAGTATGTTTTACGTTGCAGTGACTCTGTAGGTGCTTTGTGAGGCTCACATGTGCAGATAATTGATATCATTACATTAGGGAGGCAGAAAAGAATGTGATGATGATGCCAAAATGGGTCAACTACCACAGTTTTCCTTTTTAATAAAACTCAGGAAACATATCATCTAGATTTGTTTTAATAAATGCAGATAAATCAATACAGAAATAAACGAATAACATTGAGAGCCACAGCATGAAGCATTATTGTCTAAACCCCTGGATGCATGTGATGGAGCATATTCGATGGTGGCTGCACTTGACTCAGCAGATGACGGTGACCTCGCCTGCTCTGTGCTGCAGACAGCAGAGGGAGGGAGTTCCTATACATAGTGCAGGTGTGTAAACAGCAGGTGCTCCGCGGACTCGCACACGCACGCACATACGCATGCACAGCATCATGATTGATGTTTGTTCACGTGAATTTGCACCAAGCCTTAGTGCTGAGACTTCACTTTGCAGAGATACATTTGGATCGTTGGAGTGCTTTGTTTTGAGAATAAAGACACAAGGCCAGATATATTTATGAGCCCTCCTTTATGTATTTGTGTACAAATCAAATACTGCATGAACCACAGTTTTAGCGCCTTTGCTGAAGTGTACATTTTGTAAAAGAGAGATTATTTCTGGCATTAACTCGTGCACTATAATTTCGTGATGCAGCTTGAGTCATTCTAGTTCTCCTGACTTGTCCCTGAATTTGCTCACCCTCTTTGCCCGTCTAGAAAAGGTGTCAGGACAGCAGTCATTTTAAAAAGCTGCACATGAATCTTGCTAGACTATAAGGATTGTACATTTGCTGATTTGCTGAAATTTTTGACCCGACTTTGCAAGTATTATGGACAGTTGATGCGACCTGTCCCTCTAGTCACTAGTTATGCTCATTGCATTTTATCTTCACAAAAGTCAAGAATTATATACAATAGTGATGTGTGCCAAGCTCTTTTATTGATCACTTAAGTTTTAAGGCGATGCACCCAGATCTGCCCTCAGTTTATGAAAAACGTTTTATCGAATAACAAGGAGTCAGCATTTTACAGAAATTCCTTGGAGGACGTAAATCAAAAGTCCCAGCTCTTCTGTTTCCCCAACCTTTTCTTTTACCCGCACCTGAGACCCACCCAGGCAAAAAAAAATCTGCAACTACCTGCAAAATAAGAAAAAAGTTGCTGCAAAAATAGCCGACGAGTCATCAAGAAACAGTGCTGCATGAGGGGGAATGTGTGCGGACTGCTTCTCTGGCTGTACCAGCTGTGGACCACCTCCCCTCCTCCACCTCGCGCTCCTCTTCTTCCTGTCCTCTTAGCTCCTTCCTTCTTTGTTACCGCTAATGCAAGTGCTGCTGACCTCATCAAAGGTTACGCTGGTTATTTCAGTGACTGACCCCAAGTCAGGGTCCGGTCCACGTATGCACTTATGTCACTGTTACATTTCTCATTGGTGCCTCTTGTGAATGTTTGCAGTCACCAACTTTTAAACCTTTGATGTGATTAATTTCTTTCAAACCATTTCTCTCTTAAAAGCATCTCAGTGTATTATATTGGACTTAGTCATCTGGGTGTGAAGGATAGGATTTCCTGTTGAACAAAAGTGCCCTCCCTCTGCTATCTTCCCTCTCATCACTCCCTACCTTACTTGCGGTGCAATCCATCACAGTGGCCAGATGACGGCTTGAGTGAGCGTGTTATGTCTCACTTAGGTTTGCTAGATCCAACCCCTTCAGCAAAGCCAGCATCTATGAGCTGTCTATGAAGGCAAGCGAGGGACCCATCTTATTCAGAAGTCTGGCACAAGCCACCAGCAAGTTATGTCAGGTAAATAATACCTTATCCGTATAACAAGGATCTTCATGCCTAAGATACCTGACTTCATACTATGACGGGTGTCCAGGAGGTAATAGGAGCAGCTTCAGCTCTTTGGTGATTCTCTCTAACCCTCCAAGAGCAGACTGGTGTTCGATCTTCCTGAAGCTATGACTATGTGCTAATTGCTGAAACAGCAAGTTGTGATAAGCAGATGTCTTCTTAAGATGTTGTCAACATTACAATATATCCGCTCGGTTTACTGTGAAGATTATTGGGGCTTCATTATGGGGCTGTTTGTCACTGATAAGGTCACACTGACTGTAATTAATCTAGTTATATTTGGTGTGCCCTATACACCATTTGATAGGTGTCTTTGCGTTGCACTTTTCAAAAGCTTTACATTTGGATAGAATCCGCATATAGACAATGATGTGAATAAGTTTGTGCATTTTATTTATAGGATTTTGAAGTTTCTGGTTGCCAAGAGGAAGTTTAAGGAGACGCTACGTCCATATGATGTAAAGGATGTCATTGAGCAGTATTCAGCTGGTCACTTGGATATGCTTGGACGTATCAAGAGCCTGCAGACACGGTAGCTTCACGCTATATGACTTTTATTGGTATTACAAAAATACATTCAATAATTTCTTGAATTTTGTTTTTAAAAGAGTGGATCAGATAATAGGACGTGGGGCTGTGTCTACAGACAAGAAGGCTCGTTCTGAAAAGGGAGAGAAGACACCTCCAGAATTGGATCCCCTGGACGAGCTAAGCATGATGGGACGTGTCGTGAAAGTAGAAAAACAGGTACATGTTTCTGTATAAAAATGTTTACACAAATGATTAAAAGATGACTAATATTGTTTTATTCTGTTCAGGTGCAGTCTATAGAGAATAAACTGGACGCTCTGCTGAATTTCTATTCCCAGTGCCTGAAGAAAAGCACCTCTCATTTCACTTTGTCCTCATTGCTTGACCCGGACCTCACCTCGGACTACCACAGCCCCACAGACCAAAAAGACCTTTTCCCCTCCGCAAACACCCTCAACTTATCCCAATCGGAGAGTGGAAACCTGGAATGACAGCGGTCTGCACAGAAGCTCTCGGAGCTAAACACACATAGACAGACAGAATACATCTTGTTACTGTCTGTTCCTCAATTACAACATTCAGCAGTGAATGGTGCTTCTGGTCTTCATCAAATGATCTTCAGGTGAAAGGTATTTCATCAGAGCCCACTAGATGGCGCCTCAGCCAAAGCACACTGCACATGCCTCTCCTAGAGACAAACGCACACTAGGAGATATGACTACTGACTCGCTACACCTACATCCAGCTTCAACTGTAGATGGTAGACTATCTTTTTGTAAATGTTTAAAGAATCTAGTCTTTTATCACTGCTTTCTCGGCCGCGTAAATCTACGGACTCCTGAGAGTTTGCAAGTGCCATGACAGTATTATTTTTGCCAGTTAGTATAATGGCATAAAAACTTTACTACTGTGATGAATGTAATCATATCTTGAACAAAATCACACAATAATATAGAAGCAGGATCTCTGTGGGACCTTGCCAAAGCGCTCCACCTCTGCGGCTCACTCCTCTACAGCCAAATGGGGCAGCGAATAAATATTTTACACAAAAACAGCCAAAGGAATGTCTTGTTATGGCTGACTGTATAATTTACTTTTTTAAGAAACAGATTTTAGCAAGCCCTAGTGCAAAAAAGAGAGTAATAATCTTTGTCTATACTTAATTAACCCTCTATACCTTTAAAAACATTATTGGCAATGTCTGTACTTCTGTTTTAAAGAGTCTTATAAACCTGTGTCTTGCCGCCCACCTCAGACATGCATGTTTTTCAAATACAGTCTGCATTCATTTCATAGAGGTCTTCTGTGCGCTCCTTCAATGCAGCCTCAGGTTTTCTTCACCAGCTGGTTCATTCGACTTTAGGCTTTCTTGACCTTGGAAGTGACTTTAACACTACTCTGGCCTGAGCAGTGCAGTTTTGAATAATGAAAAACTTGAGAGAGGTGTTCTGGTACAGCATGAAGCCCTCGTAAATGCACGTGTGGGTCCACTCTGGAGCTGTTTCTGACGTCAGGCCTGGTTCATTTGCTGCTGCTCTGTAACTCTTTATATTTCTGTTTGTAGGAAAAACTGTAGATTACATGCAGCCATACGACAAGACTCCTTTTCTTGAACAACTTTGTTACACAACAAATACAATGGTTTGTTACAGATTTTAATGTCATTTAATGTAACAATGTCCGACTTAATGAAATATACGATGCATTTTTATTGATTACTGTAGTTTGAGGTAAATAATTGTTGGATATAAATGTATATAATCAGCCCAATAAGTTTATATATTAACCAGTAATGACTGATTGAGATTTTGATCTCAATTGAAAGGGTGACTGGTGGTCAGTAATTCAGGTTTCCATTATTAAAATTAATGTCACCATTATAAATGCTGCCAGCAAGAAAAGAAATAGATCACTACACAGTATTTGGTTCTTGATTATTTGATCCTGTCAAGTTGACTCAGGTACTGCATTTCCATTGAAGCCTGGACCTTTTCAACAGTGAATGTACGTTCTTCTGCTTCTGTGGCAGTTGGTGTTTCACATTTGTCCCACTGAGAAACATGACTGAGCTAATTAGACGTACCTACCTACGAGAGAGGCATTATTATGACTGATTAAGTATTAAGAGGAATGTCAAGTTTTGTAAAGGTGTATGTAGTTTGCATGATGTAAGCGCTGAGGGCCCCAGTATTAGAAACAAGTGATGTCCAACTCCCAACATGAAGCGAGATAACTTGTGCCTTTGTTGACTCTTTACTTTTATAAAGTCAGTGCTTCCTTAAGATATTTCTTTATACTTATAGTCTGTCCCACAGATTTGAATGGTTTGTGAGGCTGCAGGCTTTGAAATCCTCTAAAATTGTGTGTATTATGTATTATCTGCTCTATACCAGGATTTCCGAACACGTATATGTTGAATTCAAAGTCGGTGGCATGGTTTGCAGGCATGTGTGTCCTTTCGTAAGCATGCCACCATGAACAAAATGGCTTCCACACAACTACCTCTGAGGCCACTGGGGCGCTAGTTTAGGAATATGAGAAACAGTGATTGTCTAACTGACTGAATGCTATCTATGCATGACTCAATCTGCACGTTCTCTTTGTCACTGTTGTCGAGAAATCCAACATCAATCAATGACTTGCTGCCATTCGACATTCCAGCTCGTTGCCCTTTAATTGTCCAGTGAAAATCATTTAAAAGCAATAAACAAAACGCAAAATGGAAGTCCGATTCCTGTTGATGTAGCTATGGGTTGATGACAGTGATGATGGCGCTTATTGAAGTTCTTACATATTTGATTTATTGCACATCTTAATTTGATCTTTGAAATAAAGAAATACTTGTGTCTGCTGAGAGAAAATTAGTTCACTTGACTAACTTATTAATTTATTTGTTCAATAAAGCTCTTTGGACTGTATGTTGACTTTCTTCTATCATGTTTTAATGATAAATATGAATATACAATTACTTATACTTGTCTGCGAATCAAAATGAAAAATCTCCAATTCCATAAATGTGATAGATCAAGGTCACATGCCTTTTATAAGGGTCGACAATCAAGTAGGCAAAGGTTTGCTCCTCCTCTTCAGATCGTCCAGGGAAACACAGGCCAGACTCATTCTAAACATAACAAACATAGAATCAATGTTATTATTTATGTCTCATTAATAATGATCACATTGGGTTTGATTTGGGGACTAATAATAATGTCAACATCAATTCCTTATGTTTCCCAAATAGATTTGTTGTTTTTATTCTATTAAAATAACCAGCAAATAGGAATTAAATGAGTATTATGAGCTAATCTGCACTTACATAAGCAGACACCTTGAAGACTTTTGTCACAACACTGATCTCTTTTGTTTCTGGATCTTTCTGAACACTGGAGATGAGGGTATAGAAGTTTAACAACATTTATACACAGAATCAACGTGACATTTTGGTTAGTTTAAAGTAAAAAATGAAACCGTCTACCTGATTAGATCTTTGTAAATTTGCTTTGTTGTGCTCATGTACGGTTCAATAGATTCCTCGCTCTGACACAGCTCTCCCCCGAGACACAAGTGCTTAAAAAGTCGGAACAGAAACTCCTGCCGCACCTCTGGCCTGATCACGGGATAGTGCTCGGACTCCTCATCCAGCAGCATCTGAAGAAACACACACTTAGATCTTGCACAAAACGACACATACGCATTTAAAACTGGCCTATGCATACTTACTTCTCTTAGCTTATTGTAGTCAGGGGAATTCTCCAGAAAACACTTGACAATATGTCCACTCGGCCAAAGAATGCCACAAGAGTAAATCGGGTCAAACAAATCCATAGAGACTTTTGTGCAAGGAACCGCCTCCACTTTGACAGATTCTATGGGTTTTTCTGCACAAACACGCAATATATGCATCAAGAACATTCTTCAGCTATGTCTGGGTACTACAATTTCCTACTATCAATAATGGAGGATTTTCTGCATACCTAAAGGCCCCCAGGCGCTAACCTTCCTCAGACTGGACATCACAACAGAGTCAGTGAAAAAGCACTAGAATTGCGGTAACAAAAAAATGCAGTTTATTTGTGACATAATAATATCGTCTTTGCATACCTGAATATCGACTGTATAAACTTATTTTTTAACAATGATGGATGTAATGGGTGTTTTTATTTGAGTCTAGATTTTCTTTGAAATAGTGGTTATTTGTTTTAATCTTTGAAATGTGCAGTAATAAAAATTTTTAGAAGAAGATCGGGTCTTGGGACTACTATATTGGTTTCAACTCAAGCTTTTTAATGAGACAAAATTAAATACATAAATAAATGCCAGGATTCTCTATTAATCTTATGTTTCTTTATGATGGGCATTAGGAATAATAGTGTATTTTGCATATACATTTTCTTGGCAGTCTCAAAGGTGACATATGCTGCCAGCCTGCCACTACAATAATAATAATAATAATAATAATAATAATAATAATAACATTGATATGATCCATTTCACATTGTTACATTTGGTACAAAGTATGAGTCTTTGAAATCATTTACTTATCATACTCACATGGGCAAACGTTTCGCTGTTGTAGGGAGAGAAGCACTGGTCGAAGCTGAAGGCCTGAGCTGTCAGTCTTCCCAGCATAGACCTGAGAATACAAGATGCAACTTAAGGCGACCATCATGCACATTTCTTCACGCAGAAAACGCTGTTATTACTGTACCATTTCATCAACAATGCCAGCGTCTCTCTGTTTTGTAGAAATGGAAACGTCTTGGATGGAAGAGCACTGAAGCTGAAGGTGTTTTCAATCTCACGGCCCTGTCCTGCCATTTTGACTTTAGCTAATGTTATCCACAGTCTATGTTTTTGTCGCAGAACTTACCAGCACATTGAATTATCCCTCACGTGACCTGGCTGTACCTTTCTGTGTTTGCCCGTTTCTATGACAACACACATGGTAAAGTAAGCGAGCCAGAATTTTTTTATTCTCGTTATATTTAAGTTATTACTACTGCACTGCGTGTCTGACATATATATGTTTCTATTTTGTAAATATTAAAATAATTATATGGGTATTGTTTATCAAACCAGTATATTGTTTGCCACATGAGGGCGACCACAGGCTTTGGGGAGAGACCATAGACTGAAGAGACCGACCATGAGGAGAGAGACATTTACGGTAAGCCGTGTTTGTATTTGCAAAGTAACTTAACGTGTACTTCTGTCCCACCCCCAGTTGTACCTGCTCTCTTCCATTAAAATCCAATGAGAGAATTACGGCTTGCATTAATTTTATATTTATTATTTTTCCAATTTTCTCCAGCTCTGCATAGAGCTTTTGCTATTTCTGTCGTTTTTATTGTAGTCATTTTCCCGGTGTTCCCTTCAGTTCCTTCATTTTTCTCACCAACATAATGTCTGGCTACAGCTTTTGGATGTGTTCCCATTTTGACCATATCTGCACAGATGTTTCGGTGTACGGGCCCAGCCACTTGGGTATGGCTCTCCATGTATGCTTTCCAGCCTATTACCTCCTGCATTTATGTGCTGGATTGTCCCAGAGGCCTCTTCATGTCTTCACCTGGGATCTTCTGGTATGGTCGACCTGATATACCATGAAATGGACCAACATTTTGGGTTGATTTGTGAAAGATCAAAACAATATGGTCTTTTTTGAGTGCATAATCGGGCTGATGAATGACGATTCATATTCATAGTCAAAGCCACAACTACAGTTAAGCACTTAATAGCCACAGCCGCCATGGCACCTAGAGGTCTTCCATAACAGCACTAACCAGGCCCTGCCCTGCTTTGCTTCTGAGGTCTGACAGAATCAGCATTCAGATGGTGCACTCTTCACATAATGTATCATTTTGCTTTTACAAAGTCCAATATAATTTCTTTGTGGTCATGACAATGCAAAAAGAAGAAAAGTCAATGGGGTATGAATACTTTTTCAAGGCACTGAAGTATGTCAGACTCCAATTAAAAAATCTCAGCTCAGCTTCTAAGATATATCTGTGAAATTACTCTCAAAACTAGAGCTTTGAGTTACTTTACTCAAAACAAATAGAGTAACTAAGTTGCGACAGGTGAGAAGATGTCAGTGGGGAGGAATTTCTGGGCGTTGATACTTTGAGTTTATCTTTCCATGACACATTCTTTAGTTGGTATTGCCTTTTATGATTTCCTTTATGTTTTTATGCTATGAGCATTATTTTATATGTTGCTCATTGAATGTAAACGAAATTGCACAATTGATGACTCACTTGAACAAACAGCCTTGGCACGCCAAAGAGAGCATTCCACAAGATCAATATGCTGCACTGTTCTATGTTTTTGCCACTGATGAAGATAATTAGTTTGTGATGAATACACTAAACATTTCAGGGGCTGCCACTCTAATATTATTTATTATTATTTTTATTTATTGATTCATTTCGAGCAGATCACATAAAAAATAACAAATGTAGAACAGCTGTAAATAAGTTCAAGAATTAGAAAAGATTTGGCTCGAAAAGGAGTGGGAAGAAGAAAACTTATTGAATCTCACCCCTATTGTCCATTGCTACATCACAATATTTAACTTAACTTCCACTTCAAAGTCCATAAGAAGAAAAGAGAAAAAAGAGAAAAAAACAAACAAACAAAACAACAATAACTCAATTAGAACAAAATTCTCAATGCAACAAAATTCATCACATTTACATAACTTAAACACTGTTTCATTTGTAAACTACTTTCACTTTATAACAGAAAACTAAGTGCATTATCGATTTCGTTTACAGTCAATAATAGCTTATAGAATCAACAACATGCAAATGATACAACAGTTTAGACATTTTCAGCTATTTTACATACCAGCGATGGTAGGGACAGAGGCACCAACAACAGTAACACAAATTTACAAACCAGCGATGGCACCAACAATAGTAACACAAGAGCAGCAGCATTGGAGCAGAAACAACGATGGTAAGAAACGTCAAAAACAGCACAAGAACTGATACGGACAACTGCAATACAACAAACGATCTAAGTTCCACTAACTCTGTATTCTGACCACACTGCATTTTTGTAGAGGTGTTTAAATTTGTGAATATTTTGGCATAGCTTCTGCTGTAAATCCAGAGAATTCCACATTTTTACCCCACATGCAGTTACACAAAAACTTTTGCGAGTCGTCTGAGCTTTTGGTAGAATAAAGTTTCCATTTCCTCTCAAATTATATGCATTCTCTTTAAGAGAGAAGAATTTTTGTAAATTTTTAGGAAGTATATTATTAAATGCTTTAAATAGTAGGATTACTGTATAGTATTTTACAAGTTTGTGGAATTTCAGTCATTTGGACCGAATAAAAAGATCATGCGTATGTTCCAAAAAGCTGACCTTGTGAATGATACGAACAGCCCTTTTTTGCAGTAAAAACAATGGATTTGTGGCACATTTGTAGTTATTACCCCATATTTCGTGTCTGAGGAAGGAAGGGAGGCACGTGTGGAGTGAGCACGCGTTTTGACGTCTCTGCTCTGTTTACCCTTTTAAGCCTTTTAAAGCCTTTTAAACACGTTTTTACGGTGTATTAGTGTCTTTTGTACACTCTAGTGTTTTATTATCTTAAATGCAATGGTTCCAGAGCATCACGTCTTTTAACACAAAGACCCAATCGAAACACGCTAGCTCGGAGGCTACCACGAGCGCACCACAGACATGGAAAGTGACACTGCAATGACCACGAACGACATTAGTCGCCTCACATTGGAGCTTCGTGAGAGGGACCGTGCCACTATTGCAGACCTCCGTAAAGAAGTCCTTCGCCTCACTGCAGAGCTGCAGGATAAACAGTCACTCGTGTCCAAACTTTTTGATGTCGCTGGCGGGCAGCACTCACGGCTTATGTCACTGAGCGCTGCATACTGTGACACTGTCGTGTGGGAGAGATCTGTCAGCTCTGGGCCCTCTTGTTCTACACCTAAGTGCCCGGTTCGGAATAAAGAGCCTGTGGACTGCGAGGAGCCATCCAGCGCCGTGGCCCATGTCCTGAGCCTTTCAAACCGCTATGCAGCCCTCTCCGCTGACATCCCAGCCCCCTCAGCAGAACCCCTGGACTCTGCAGCAAACTCTACTGCTGTCCGTGGATCCAGGTCCACTGCGAGAAAGACACTCTTAAAGGAAGCTGTCCTCAGACGAAAGAGTGGTCATTCCCCTTCTCTGACCCCAGTGCATCACCACCACTTACCTTCACCGGGTCAGCAGCAGCGATCCGAGCCTGCTCCTCTCGCTGCTCCAGCGTCTCCGTGCACACAGCGTGGGTTGCCCGGAGCTGGGAATCAACACCCCCACTCCTCTCCATGTGTTCAGCAGCGCCCTGGTTCGGACCCATCCCTGGATGAGCCCGCTGGTTCTGGCCATGGACACCGAGCGCCCTCTCCGCGGCCGCGTCCACTCTTCGCCCCAACTACTCTGATTGTTGGAGATTCCATCGTGAGGCACGTCCGCTTTTTTAACGCGGTCACTCACTGCATTACTGGAGCTACTGTCCCAGATCTGCTCATCCGTCTCCCTCCTCTGCTTCACTCCCTGCCCGATACCATATCCAAGGTAATCGCCTGGCCCTTCTCTCCCCCTCTGCACTCCTCCCTCCCTCCATCCTCTGCCCCTCTCTCCCTCCTCTGCCCTCCCTCCTCTGCCTCCTCTCTCCCTCCTCAGCCCTCTCTCCCTCCTCTGCCCTCCTCCCTCTCATTCGCACCATCAGCCCCTGATACAAGTGGACGTTACTCCCCTCCGGGTTTTTCTGTTGTAATATAACCACGTTTCATTTTAAAGCAGGTATTATTTATTTGTTAGCCTCAAACACCGTTAGTTTTTAGCCAACAACACAGGCACACACCTTCTGTCGCTGCGCATAGTGACTGTGGTACGGATGATTTTGATTGACGCACGCAATACTGGGACTAAATTACTAACGAGATTAAAATAATTATAGTACCCTTTTTGTGTGGAAATCAGCACTTAGCGACCCCCCAGGTGGTTCCCCGCGACCCCCCCGGGGGTCAGGACCCACACTTTGGGACCAACTAACTCTATGTCTAAACTGTGCGCTACCGATGCAGGAACCCCGGGTTCGATCACCGGCTATGTCTTTTTGTATTTATTGGCATGTTTCACATTCTATGACAGATTGCTCTAAAAACGGTAAAAATGAAGGTCCAAGACGGTTTTTTTTGCAGATTGTTTAGCTTAAATTGTAAAAATAATCATTTAAGACCATCATGTACCCCCCAATTAAAATTATGTTAGTCACTTTTTGAAGTGGACTTTTACCTGTTAGGGAGATAAATAAAATGTAAAGGTGATATCCTCCTTGAGCAAACCCCTGAATGTGATAACGCTAAGAAATACTCCAACATCCATTCTTCCCACTACCTATTTAGAACATCGATTGCTTATTTATTTTGCATAAACTATGTGTAATTACATGCTTTATTTTGTTTGTTTTTTATCTCAAATGTCCAAATAATAATAATTAAAAAAACATTATCAAACATTCATTCAGCATAGCAACGGCCTGTCCATGGCAATGTGAATGGAGACGAGACAAACAACTGATAAAATAATTCTGTGTTTGCTGCTGGATATTTGGTTGTGAATCTGGCAAACTGGAGTCAGGGATAGTGAAGAGAGGACTACAAAATATTATGTGAACTGCAGTACCACCATTTGCCAGATTTTTTACATATTGCTACCATTAAGGGTCGCCGCAAGGAAGCTCCGCTGTGAATGGTCCGTGTGTGTGTATGGAAGGAAGCACGGAGCGCTGCAGCAGGAGCATG